CATGACTTCCCTAGAAACAAGCCTTCTCATCTAATGTTTGCCTCTTATATATAAGATTTGGGCTATTTTCTCTATAACTATTCCAATTTTCTCTTGGATAGGAAGGCAGCAAGAATGTCTGTAGGTGTTTGTGTGCCTGGGTGTTTGTGTATGTGTGTGAAAGAGAGCATAAAAAAGGAACAAAAGTGGAGAATGATTAAATTCTAATGTTAGTAAACTATTCTTATTCCTACAGCTCCCAACAGCCTTGCTTAGCATGAATGATAAATGCTGAAATTACAATCAGCATAATCAGGCAGCTGGATAGAGCTAGACAAAACTAAACAGAGCTTTTAGCCTTAGAATTTTGAGGCCAAGTTAAATCCAAATTTTATGCACATCTACTGTATTGAGCATCCTTAACTCCTTATCCGCCTCTAAGCATAGAGTATCTTTGTTCAGAATAATCCCTACTAAAATGAAATTCAAGTAGGTTTGCAAGTTTGCCTAATAGTACATTAGATATCAATTTAACAATGACTGCACATGATTGCTGATCTTTCTAGAGAGCAAACACAAGGTGGCTGTAAAAGAGAGGTCATTTCCTACCTGTCAGACCTCAAGCATTCAGTCCAATTTCCATTAGAAAAGAATTAGATTTGCTTGATATGATGCAAAAAGTAATCCATCCCAAGTCAGATTGACTTACTGGACAGCATCAGAAGTTTGAAATAATTCTTTTCTTTCTCTTTTTCATACAATGGTTGGTTTGGCATTGGTTTGCAAGGCATTGGTTTTCCATTTAATACGTTATTAAATAAAACTTAATATGATAGTTGCCCTTTCGATATTCATGCTTTATTTCTAATTTATAGACTATATAATACTCTTCTAAGGCTTCCTTCTCATTTTTTAAAATCTGGAATCCACAGGAAATTCTGAATGAATTGGCTGAAGCTTTCTGTTCTATCAAATGAAGCTTGGTATAATGCCGTGTTTTATAATGGGATCCTTGTTGAGTTATAAATTGATGTGTAAAGTAGCTCTGTGTGGATAGATTGTGGGTAGTATGTGGTAATATGTAGGTGATATGTACAGAATGTTGATAGCATTTAATTGGGTATTCTTCATCTCTCATGAAAGAAAATCTACTAAAACATTGATGGACATTTTTCTGGATTCAAAGCATGTTCACCACTAATAACCTTTTTTTCACCTTTGCATGCAGGAGTGATATTTCAATCTGTCCCCAGTCTTATCTGCTTGAACTTCTGCATGTTTAGCATTTACAGAAAGAAATAATGGAATGTTCCCAAAGTCATTTATGTCCTGTAAAAGTTAAAGGGGATGGACTGGATTTTCACTTCATATATTCATTTAATTACAGTAACACTGCAATGCATGCTAAGATATAATGGGGCACTATTGTCAAATCTAGAGGAATCTAGGCTGAATTGATGAATATCTTAGAATATAATAACTTTGATTTAACTTCACAGAAAGCACAGGTATATTTTAGCATTTTAATGTCTTCTTTTCCTTGTCCTTATTTTGATCTTTATCTTCAGGAGAAAAATCCCATGAATCGCATTTTAAGTGAATTTAAATAGCATGATTTTGAGATGTTGCTTGATGTTTACCTCATCTTCTTTCCTTCATGTCTGGAAGATTATATATAAGCTGGCCTGGCTTGGAGGGTTTCTACTCCTGACTTTTGGGAATTCTGCCCAATCAAATTTGATTTAGTTGGGAAATAAATTCAGTCATGTTGCTGTTGTTGTTGGACAAATAGATTGATTTATCTGAACCCACTTAATGTATTTTTTTGTCTGATCTGATACCCTCTAGGATCAATTATTGTAAATTTAGACCATCATTCAAAAAAAAAAAACATGGCAGAGTTAAGGGGTTGTAGAAAATCCATCAGGACAAGATTCAGCAGTCCATTTACATTGAAAAGACAAAGGTCATTCCTTTGAAGGCAGCAAAATCCACATGTTGGACAGAGAGGACAGCTGGTTTGAAAGAGGGATCAAAGAGGCCATCCATGTCAAAACTGAACAGCCCTCTCTCAATATGGGGTGGGGAATACGACATCATCTATCTCCAGTCTACAACACAGTCCTTTCAACAGTTCCAAGAAGGCTCCAAACACATTTGCACTACTCAGGTGACCCTGAGGATGCAGATAACCTCCAGGTGGCTTCAATGACTCTCTAAAACAGGGGTGTCAAACTCACGGCCTATGGGCCAAATGGTTCACGCACTGGCCATGCCCACCCCTAGTTTAGTGAAGGGGAAAAAAAGTCACCATATGTCACATGATGACAACATGAGCTTGACACCCCTGCTCTAAAAGAATGCAAATTACCAGCTGTCTTCAAAGAATATAAATTCTTCCACCTGGATAGTCACAGCTGAAGGAGCTTCTTGGATGAGAAGAAAATGTCTTCAAAAAACCCCCAAAAGTCCAGTTGCCTCTTGGAAAAGTACCTTCGGGTTTTGCAAGTAAGGCATGATTGTAGGAAATGTGAATGCTTCCTCTCATAACCATGTTGTCTTTTTGCAGATTATGGAAGCTTTCCCCTCTCTATTTCATCCTATGAAAAAATGTTCAAGGGATATATACATTTTAAAGCCATTATCATCCAAGTGGAACATTTACTGCCAGGAATTACGAAACCCTTTTCTTTGAAAAGTCCCCTTCCTGTCTCCCAATTTCCATCCAAAACTACTATGGAGATTTGGAATGAGAATTGTTAGAGGGAGAAACCAAGAGTGAAAGCTAAATACTTTTTCTTGAGCCCAGTGTCCAAACTTCTCTTCTGAGCTATGGTTTTAAACAGCCCTTTGAACTTGAAGGGGGCCCATCTCCAGTTTTCTAAATGATCATTTTTGTAATAATCCCTATTTCCCTGGAGCTAATTGTACCAAATGAGACAGGTATGTTATAGTTACCATTGGTGTGGATAGGTCAGCCCCGAGTTCCATAAGTTTATGCCTTCTACTTTATTCATCAGATACAGGTAGCCCTCACCTTATGACCACCTTGAGTCCAACCTTTCTGTTGCTAAGCAAGACAGTTAAGTAAATTTTGCCCCATTTTATGACCTTTCTTGCCATGGTTGTTAAGTGAATCATTGCAGTTGTTAGGTTAGTAACATGGGTGTTAAGTGAACCTGGCTTCTCCTTTGACTTTGGTTGTCAGAAAGTCTCAAAAGGTGATCACATGACCCTGGGACACTGCAACTATCATAAATATGAGTCGAGCCAAGTGTCTGAATTTGATCATGTGACCATGGAGATGCTGCAACAGTTTAAGTGTGTGAAAAAATGGTCATGTCACTTTTTTCAGTGCCATTGCAACTTCAAACAGTCACTAAATAGCAATAGCACTAAGACTTATATACAACTTCACAGAGCTTTACAGCCCCCTCTAAGTGGTTTACAGAGTCAGCATATTGCCTCCAACAATCTAGGCCCTCATTTTACCCACCTCGGAAGGATGGAAGGCTGAGTCAACCTTGAGCCGGGTGGGATTTGAACTGCCAAATTGCAGGCAGCCAGCAGTCAGCAGAAGTAGCCTGCAGTACTGCACCACCAAGGCTCTTATGGACTGTTGTAAGTCAAGGACTACCTGTATTGAGCTCGATCTTAACCATACTAAAGTAGCTTCATATACTTGGAGTAAGTGCAGTGCTAAGTAGAAGCAATACTGTGGATCCATTTATGGAAAGTTAAGGGAACAATTCCAGCCATATTTTAAAATCTATTATTATGTGCATCTGATTTTGCTTTTAACTTTTCAAAAGTGTTGATAATTAAACCCATTGCTTTTCTTTCATGTAATATTGAAGTGGGACTTTTCTATTAAAGTTTCTATCATTACGACTGAAAAAGTCAAAGTTCCTTTTGCTAGAGGGGTGGCTATATAAATTTGTTTAATAACATAAAAATAAATAAAATGAAACAGTAAGGTGAAACCCATAACAGTGCAAAAACTTGCGTTTTTCCTAAAACATTATAAAATGATTCTCATGAGCAAACAACAGAAGCCATAAAAGTTAGCAATCGGTTTTTCTTTTTCTTTTTTTTACTAGGCTTGTCTATATCAACTATACAAAGTCTGTAGACAATTGTCTGTACAGGGATTTTTCTTCTTAAATAAATGAACCTGCAGTTTATGAAAAGTTGTCCAGTGAATTTCAGAGTGCAGGTTGGGTCTGTTTAATTACTAAGAGTCTTTTTCCTCTTCTCTGTGGGACAGTTCTTGGCCCCGAAAAATGTTCTCAGAAGAGATTAGAACCAGCATCACGTATCAATTAAGTATAAAGTATGGTTAATGTAAGCAAAGCCAGCATGCAAATGTTGCACGAAGAGAAAGAGAGGGGAAAAAAAAAAAAAAAAGACCGCGGAACACAGGAAAATGAAAAACAAAAATGGAATTCCCTTCAACATCTGGCTGACACAAACCATCATTGTAATGAAAAGGAAGCAGCATTCCAATTTTTTGGGTCAGTCTTATTCATGTTCTTTTTTGCCATCCTCTTGATCTCCAAAGCCCTTATCTCTTTGCAATTAAATAAAGCAAAATTAAGCAGTTGCAGCAAAGTGTGGTTCTGCTCAGTTTCTCCACGAATTAGGGTTTATTTCAAAATATTTTATATATTTATATATTTGTAAATGATACAAATAAAAATGGTCAATCCACATGTACAGGACCATTGTTCATCTTTCAGAATCACAAAATTTGCTTCTGTTGAACTGCTTGTCAATGTCTTCCCTCTTTCTTTCTCTCTTTCTCCCCCTTCTTCTTTTTCTTCTGTTCACTCTGGTTCATTATTTATCTAGGGTGCTTTGATTCTACGCAAGCAAAGTCATTGCAGTTTCCTCTAGTACAGAATTAAAGTGCAAATTAAAAAGAAAAGAAAAGAAAAACCAGTTGGCTTGTAGAAGCTCGAGATTTCTGCCTTCTCTCTGTCTGGGAGTTCCTTTGCAGTCTGCTGCCAGAAGAATTTTTGTTAAGTCCTCGGATGAATCTGCAAAAACAAACCAAAAAAAGAAAGGATTATGCTCAGCATCTGAAAAACCACCTTGATTCTTCAATTTGGTGGATGGAAGAAGATCTTTCCTCAAAGCTGCATAGCCAAGGTAACCGAGACAGTGTGCTCAAAATCAGACCAGGGAGATGTGGAAAATTAGGGGAAACAATAGGAGGACTGCTCTCTCCAGATAGTCTGATTCACATGGAGAGAAGCTGAGGGTGGCTGGTGGCTTTTTTGCAGGACCATTCAGCCTTAAGGTGTTGTGCCTCCATGGTTATTTCTCTGTTGCCTGCTGGAGATAACATAGCAGTCAAAATTTTCTTTGTGGCTGGTGTTGGAATACCAATCTGTGGAAGATATTCTTCCTCTTCTTCCATCTCCTGCCCTGCTTTATCTCTGCATACAAGGTCTACCCTTTGAACTTCCCTTGCTTTCAGATGCAAACATTCAATCTTATATCGAACATAAACTATCCATCCAGAAACTCTGGTTGTATGAACGAGGCAACAACACTCAGCAATCATCAACATTTGTTGCAAATTGGGCTAAGATTTGGTCAAGAGTTTGGTTTCAGGGAATACATTATTTTTTTTGAGGGTGCCTTTAAAAATCCTAGTGTGCCTTTCAGTTTGCAATTTTCTACATCTACCTCTGGGAAATAGAAGTCTGAAAATAGGCAGAATGGTTCTTTGCAAGGGGGAAAATAAGGTTGCACATCATTATATGTGTCAGTACCCACTCTTGTACCTTGTCGTGCTGAAATCAACAAAGGTAGTCAGTCATTTAAGAGAAAAAGGAGGGAGGGGGAAAAAAAGCTAATGTTTGTACAAAAGGTCAGGAACATTTTCTAGAGTAGCAGGAATTCATGAGAACTTTGTCAGTGAAGCCTGTTAGCACTTTCACAGAGATTTTAATAGAGTTGAGAAAAATGGCAGCCAATCTTAGAGAGGTTAGGCCTCTCTCTCTCTCTCTCATGAGAAGCTGGCAAGTTTTATCAGTAAGATTTTGATTGACTGATTGACTGATTGATTTATGTATTTATTATCTATTCCTTCTTACTCCCAACAATTCTGGGTGGGATGCCTTACTGGATGTTCATAGGAAATTTCACAAATGTACCCTATTGCTGGTTTCTAACAATACTCTAATTTCATCAACACACACACACACATTGAAAAAAGCAGCTACCTTGTGGATGTTGCAGTATTATAATGCAATCATTAACAAAATTTTATGATAGCCCTGTGAAAAAATTGCCAGCCACTTGAAAAGATCACAATTTATAACTCTGTTTTATGACTTTATGCAAATTTCATCCAATTCTGAGGAAAAACAACAGCCACAAGATGAGTTTGCAGAGCAGTTTTAGTGGTGGTGTTTTGCAGTAGAAGAAAATGGTTTTGTGGCATCTGAAGACTAACAATGTAATTATCAGATATGTGTGGTGTATCACAATCCAATTTATCAGAGGCATAGAATATAGTCCTGGGAATGGTACATATGAGAGCAAGAGAGAGTGTGAGAGAAAAAAAGAGAGAGAGCACATAGCTCTTGCTGGAGAGAGGGGAATGGAAAAAACTGAAACAAAAACCTGAATTCTGCTGTGATACAAATTTATATTGAATATCTGCTTAACTTACATACTCTATTTATCCAACCCACAAGAAATGTATTCACTTTGCCTGATTTATTTTTCTTCAGTTAATCAGTGGGACAATGAAGATATATTTCATTTCTCTCTCGTCCCCCCCCCCAAAAAAAAGGCAACTGGACTGTTTTTTCTTTGAGGAAGAAGAAGAAAACATTTCACTTCTCATCCAAGAAGCTTCATCAGTTGTAATGGTGGCGGGATGGAAGGATAGTACTGAAAGTTGACACTGAATGGTAGTGAGATGGAAGGATAGGTTCAGAGGTGGTATTCAGCAGGTTCTGACCAGTTTTGGGGAACCGGTAGCGGAAATTTTGAGTAGTTCGGAGAACCGGCAAATACCACCTCTGACTGGGGATTTTATAGTATCCTTCCTCTGCCACACTCACCAAGCCACGCCACAGAACTGGTAGTAAAAAAAATCGAATCCCACCACTGAATAAGTTCTGATAGGATGACTGGAAGGATTGTATTTCTTTGCAGTCATCTGGTCATTAGCATTCTTTGAGATTTGTGAAGACCACTTGAAGGTTTATCTGTGCCCTCAGGGTCACCTAAATCAGAATGCAATTGGTTATGGAATCTTCTTGGAACTGCGGCAAGGGATGCATTGTAAACTGGAGATAGGTGGTGTCTTATTCCCCACCCCTCCCCGGTTGAGGAAGGGTTTCAATTCTAACATAAATAAGCGCTGTGGTGGCGCAATGATTAGAATGCAGTACTACAGGCTATTTCTGCTGACTGCTGGCTGCCTGCAATTTGGCAATTTGAATCTCACCAAGCTCAAGGTTGACTCAGCCTTCCGTCCTTCCAAGGTTGGTAAAATGTGGACTCAAATTGTGGAGGGCAATATGTTGACTCTGTAAACTGCATTGAGAGGGCTGTAAAGCACTGTAAAGTAGTATGTAAGTGCTATTGCTATTGATGGATTCTTTTCTCGTCTTTCAAATCAATGGCTCTCTTTATCCAAAATAAGGACTCTTAATCCAAAACATGGAGTCTACAAAATGTAGAGTTTTTACAATGCAGCCCTTGGAGGAGTTCCAAGAAAATTCCACAACCAATTGCACCCTGATCCAGGTGACCCTGAGCGGGCAGATAAACCCCCAAGAAGCTCCAACAGTTCTCAGAGTATGCTAATGACCAGATGACTGCAAAGAAATACAATCCTTCCAAACACATACACCATTATCAGAAGCTATCCTTCCCTACCATCCAATCTCAACTGACAGTACTTATCCTTCCCTCTCCCTGCCATCAGAACTGATGAAGTGTCTTGGGTGAGAAGTGAAATGTTTTCTTCTTCTTCCTCCAAGAAAAAATAGTCCAGTTGCCTTTTGAAGAAAAAAGTGCTTTTGAGACAACTATGACCTGGATACATTTCATTTAATTTCATTTCACCAACTGTTTCTCCTTCCCTAACTGCATCCATTGTCTCTTTGCTCAGTACCTTCCCTAACTATGTTCATAAATCATTTGCTGCTATGGCAGTCATAGGCACAATGTGTATGGAGGTACATTTACATCAGTCCTGGATATTAAATACAATTTGGGAAATTGGCCAGGTAGATGGATCTGACAGCACCAACATCACTACCACCACCTCAATTCTTATCGTGATCTGCAGCAACATTGATGAGTCTCAAAATAACTTTTCTTCTTCTTCAAAAATGCTCTCTTTTCCCAGGAGGTTCCTTAGGAATAAATTCTATTTGAAGAAGGTACATATTATACTGATTTTTGAACAAGTTCAAAGTATTTGTTTACTTTTCAATGTCAAGTAAGTTCCTATTCTGGGTTAATCAAGCTCTTCTCTGTCTTCATCTGTTCTTGCTAAGTTCCTGTCCCATTTATAATATATAGACTGGGATGAATGGGTGAGGGAGGAGGAAATAGCATTTCCTATTATCCCAATTTATCTCTCTTCCCTAGTTTTGAGCTGGCTTTTCCCATTCTCATCCTCTAGCTTAGATGTGTTTACTGTTTGTCTTTTAGAATTTTATCCTCTGAGTTCAAAGGTTCTTATAATGGGGATTTCCTTTCATTTTATTTTTTCAGCCACAACCTATAACGTAGGCTGGGCTGAGAGACAGTGACTCTCCCCGTGAGCCTCCATGATTGAGAATGAATTTAAGTTTTCATCTCTCCAGTCTTAGTATAACACTAGCTGCATGATGGAGGAGTCCACCCTCCATCAAGGAAATGAGCACCTTCTTTACTGAAGAGATGAATCCTTTTATTTCACTCATCAGGTGGAGATTGAAAAATGAGATTTGAACCACTGACAATAACTTTACACTTCAAGATGAAGCAGAACAATGATGTCAATGTTGCTTAATGTTCAGCATGCCTTAGCTGTCATGGTTATGCATTGGTGCTTGCTTAATCACCATGTCATTTCTCATTGTGTACTTAACTGAGTGCCATGTCATTCAGTTGTGGACTAATTATCTCCTGTGTGGGGGGTCTTCCTTTGTTAATGGTGCTCCTAGGAGTGAAAATGGATTCACTTAGTTCAGTAAGCCAGTTTGGACACATGGCAAATATATGAGGAAAATTAAGAGGAGGAGAAAACAGGGCCATTTTCATTAGAGGATTCCATGCCTGTCTAGGAAAGTCCCTTGTTTTCCTAAGAAATATGGAATAGAGTGGTAGCTCCTTTCCCAGGCAGCAAATGGTTTGCTGTGCAGATCTATGGACAAAAACACCACAGATATTGGAGGAGGGGAGATTGATGGCGAAACAGCACATGAACAGAGGCAGAAAAACAGGTTTTTCATTTGAGTTTGCTCCTTCTAAGCATAAAAGCCTGAACTTTGACATCAGACTCTTGTAGTACACCTTGTTCTCCTGAAATGCTCAAAGTAACTGAAGGGATGTTTTGTACTCATTCAGCTTTTGATGGCAAAAGTGAGCTCTAAATAGCTCATCTTTTGTCGGAAGGAAATAAAATGGGTCAACAAGTGACTCAGCGCTGGTGCTGGAATACGGTTTCTGTTGACCAGAATGTTTTCTTTGATAATTTCTGATTCTTTTTTAATTTCAGTAAATGAAGGGGAGTGTTTTAGCTTGACTCACGAGGCCCAGGGATATCAAAGATTAGTAAGGAAGATCACCAAATAAGCTAGCAGCTACTAAAAGAAAGCTTCATTTTCATTATGGAATAATTGAGGATGTTTTCAAGAAGGAAGTCGAAAAAGACTGGAGAAGGGAAAGCATTAAATGTTTCCTCAGGGATTTATAGGACACCAAGCCACTCTAAAGGCATCATTTCAGTTTTTCAAGAACTTCAATGGCGAGGAGGAAAACTGATGTGTGAACCCCAATTTTTAGCCAACAGCAGGGATTCCCCCTTTTTATTCATTGCAACTTTTTTTGAAGTGAGGGCTACCCTTGGCCTTTGAGTAGAATGCAGGAGATTTTATTCCCAGGTAGCATGCACAGTTTGGGAAAAGAAGTGGCTGAGAACAGATCATAAATGACATTTGATTGAATGATAATGTAATTAAATGAAATTGATTAAAAAGAAGTAGTGTAATCAGCTTCCCAGATATTCAATATTTTCTCCCTTCTGTCACATTAAAAAGTATAATTCAGGAGCAACATTTGGAAGGACTCTAGGGTAAAGGTTGCAGGTTGCACTTCCTTCCTGTTTTAAATAAATGAAGGTGCACATATGCCAAGCAGGATGTAGGGGCAATCTGGCATGATTTTTTTTTCTTCTAATGAAAGAACCTCCAAATTAAAATTGCAATTGCATGCTGTAACAATGAGTACCATGCCCCACTGAGAAATTGTACAGAGGCTGGGAAAGTAATGGGAGAGAGGACATAAACAATGAAGAGACTGCAGGTTATATCTTAAGCAGCAACTCAGTCCAGGTGGCAAGGAACCTGGGAAGAAGCATTTCAAATCATTCAGGGGCATTGCCTGAACAAACTCATGAGGGATGGAAATTCCTCTTGCCCTTTTTAAGACTTTGCATTTATCCCAAGACTAGCATTAAATCAAGGTAGTTCTTGCTTCCTTGATACTGTCTAGTTGAATGGAGACTTTCAGGATGCAATTTGCCAGGTTTTTTAAAAATCACTTTTAATGGTTTCCGACCCAATAGTCTCTGACCCAAACTGCATGCAGGTAATACCCATTTTTATTTTGCTCTTCTTCCTAAAGAAAGCCTAGAACGGTCGTTCAGTAAATCATCTTCAATAAAAGAAATAAGTAAAGTAATCCAGTCAATGTAAAGGGGCACAATTTGAGGCCCCAGGGCTGGTTGTGGCTTCCGCGAGCCTGAATAGAGTTCTCGAGTCCCAAAGGGGAATTGAGTTTATAAGGTGACCAAAGAGAAATTATTAAATATATGACTGAAGACTAACTGTAATAGCTATATTTAACTACTTGTACCAAATTTAAATATAAATTAAATTAAATATAGTGCTTCACCAATTTCCCTGATGCTACTCATTTGTTGTCAGGTCCACCATTGTGTCCTGCCATTCTGTTGGAGGGTAGGGAGGAATGCTTGCTGGCATTTTTCACATCATCTTGCTTTTGCTGTAATGGCTTCGGAATTAGGGAGGGGGGTTGTCTTCGAGATGGAGCAGACTCCCTCCCATCCGGTTCCAGCTTGGTTTCAAGGTTGCTGTGTCTGGAGAGTGAACTGTTATCTGCCTTGCACCTCAGCATTCTCAAAACAGCCTTGTGGCATCGCATTGGCTGCTAGTGGACTGGTCCCTGGGGTTGGGTGTGGGGAAATAGCGGAATTGCTTTGTGCTTTGCACAGGATCTTCAGATTCCACCTGACTTTACTGCAACCACTTTCTCTCAATAAAATTTCTTTTTGATTCAATTACAACGGAGTCAAGAATTATGCTTTCCTGAAGGACCAGCTAGGACAGGTCCTTATACTTGTATTCTCTAGTCCTGTCCATACCGGGAAGTACAATCCCTCATCATAATACTCAATGCCACCTGAGGGTCCAATCATTTCTGAATATATCTATCGCATGTCTTTCTAAAGACACCTGTTGTGTTGACTCAATCGTTATACGTCCCTGACTGAGTGATTCCTCCTTAAGTTAACCCCATTAAATTATCCTCACAAATGGCTGCACTTTCTGCAATATATTCAAGCAGTCAGTCAAAACATTGAAATTCATAGAATACTTTAAACAAAGTTATGAAAACAAAGTTCTTCCAAGAAAGATTAAAAGAAAGAAAAATACAGGACATGGTGGGGTAGAAATGTTACTCTATTTTGAAACATTTAGGAAGATATCTCAGGAATTTAATTGAAATTAAATCCAATAATCCATACACAGTAGAATAAGCCATATATTTGAATATTAACAAAGCTTCCAAATGCCTAAAAAAGAAATTGAGATGTTAGATATTAATCCATAGCTAGTGAGAAGCAAAAAATATGCAAAGTGAATGAAGGGAACCTTTCATGTAGCTTACTGTATGCAACACGGATGGACTGAAAATGTATATGAAAAATGTTCTCCTGAAGAGCTACAATCTGTCCTCTAAATTAAAGCTATATGATTCTTCATGCTTAAATAGTGATTTGCATTGGAAAGAAGGTGAAGAAAGTCTATGTTAGATGGACTACTTAAAAAAAGGAAGGAAAATATATAGTTTACTGAGTCTAATCTAGAGATTCTAACTCTGAGACTCAAAACTTGTGACATGAGGAAAAAGACCATAGTTTAAAGACATAATCAATCACATTTTTACATTCATACATTTCTCATTTTATTGAGACACCTACAGTTCAGAATGCTTGCTGAAATTTTCTGAACAAATCAGAAGGTACACTAGCACGTAAACACATGGAAAGATGGTCTTGCTCTCATATCTTGGTTAACTGGGTCAAGAATGGATTAACATGTCAAAAGAATTAGCGAACCATAACTCTTACTGTGGTGTCTAACTCGGAGGAGTATCGTTTTTCACTCCAAACAACCCAAATTACTCAAGCTGTATCATGAAAACTGATAATAATCAACTGTCTTTCCCACTTCCCAATTCCAAGATAAAGCCCTAGAGTTGCACTGTGAAAATTGGGCTTTGGCTTCAGCATGTCTGAGCCATTGATATACAGTTGGCAAACAGGACAAACTAGGGTCCTATGAGAGAATAACTCTATAGATCCTACCATGCAAAGGGAACCAATGAATTCTTCTTTTTCTTCTTCTTTAGAAAATAGAGAATAATAAGTGTTTTAATGCCATTTCTGAAAGTGTTCCAAATCAGGCCACTTTGGATCTTACCCAAAATCATGTTGCACCCAAATCCATGATGTTTGGAGTAAAAGCTGCCCAACATGTTCTCATAGTCCTGATTTCTGTCCCTGACTAAGCATGGAACATCTGAGAAAGCCAGAAAAGAAAATCCTCTCATAAAAAAGCAGGGAAAGAAGCAACACGAGGCAGCCATTCCTATTTCGCACCAATATTATTGCAACCATATTAAAAGATTAACAGAGTTGGAAGGGACCTTGTAGGTCATCTAGTCCAACCCCCCACCCAAGCAGGAGACCATACACCATTTCTGATAGATGGTGATCCATTCTCTTCTTGAAAGCGTCCAGTGATGAAGCTCCCACAACTTCTGAAGGCAACTTCTGTTCCATTGCTCTCTCACTGTCAGAAAATTTCTCCTTATTTCCAGGTTGAATCTCTCCTTGTTTAGTTTCCATCCATTATTCCTTATCTGGCCTTCGGGTGCTTTAGAAAATAGCTTGACCCCTTCCTCTCTGTGGCAGCCCCTCAAATATTGGAAGACTGCTATCATGTCTCCCCTGGTTCTTCTCTTCACTAGACTAGCCATGCCCGGTTTCTGCAACTGTTCATCATATGTTTTAGCTTCCAGTCCCCTAATAATCCTGGTTGCTCTTCTCTGTACTCTTTCTAGAGTCTCAACATCTTTTTTATAGTGTGGTGACCAAAACTGGATGGAATATTCTAGGTGTGGTCTTACTAAGGCTTTATAGAGTGGTATTAGTACCTCACTTGATCTTGAGTAATGCAACTTAGTTAATGCAATTTAGGTTTGGGTTAATGCATTGGGTTTTTTTTGGCAGCTGCTGCACACTATTGGCTCATATTTGATTGGTTGTCCATTAAGTCTCCAAGATCCCTCTTACAGTTACTGCTATTAAACCTGATTTCACCCAGTCTATGTGTGCTTTTGTTTTTTCTTGCCTAAGTGTAAGATTTTACTTTTCTCTACATTGATTTTCATTGTGTTAGATAAGGCCCAGTGTTCAAGTCTGTCAAGATCCATCTGGATCTTGAGCCTATCATCTAGGGTATTGGCTATTCCTTCCAGTTTAGTATCATCTGCGAAATTGGTAAGTTCCCCTTCTATCCCCTCATAAAAGTCATTTATGAAGATATTGAAGAGTACTGGGCCTAACACAGAACCCTGTGGTACCCCACTGCTTACTTCCCTCCATGTAGATATAGTACCATTAAGGACTACAGTACTCATTGAGTACAGTTTGTCAGCCAGTTACAAATCCATCTGAAGGATTTGCTATCTATCCCACTTTTTTCTAGCTTACCAAGAAGTAGGTTGTGATCTACCATACTTTGCTACGAGAATGGTGTGCTGGCCTCACAATTAGGAGGCTGTGAACTTGATCCTAGGTAGTGGCAGACATTTCTCTCTCTGGGCTCAAAGAAAAAATATCTGCTGTGAATTCTGTGTAAGTGTCAGGAAGAGCATCTGGCTAGTAAATGCTCATCTCCATTCAGTCACCCCCAATTCCACCCCGATGCAAGGGTTTTCAGGATTGTTAAAAGAAAAAAAAAGTATTTTACTATGTGAACCTACAATATTTTAACATCCAGTGATAAGGAAAGCATCAACTTACTCTGGTGGTCTTGACTTTATTGCCAGTTGCACACATCCATCCTGAATTGTCAGGTAATGTCTTGCATTCCTCACCCTCTAGGCAGGGCTCCATCTCACACCACCATTTCCCGATGACTATTGAGGCTGAAAGAGAACGGACAAAGCATTTGTGAATGAACCTTGCTGCCTCCATCAGTTTACTTTGCCTCATCAGGAAGAGGCTTCCCAGAGGAATCAGTCCTGCATCAAATCCACATCCTTTAGTGAGGATTGAGCACAGGTCTGGATTGCTCCAGACTGATGATACAGATCATCAGTTTCCAAATGGGATATAAAAAAGAAGGTGAAAATGAGAACATCAGAAGTGGGGGGGGGGGGGGGGAGAGGGACAAAACCCACTCTGAGTGGGAAAAAAGGGATGTGATAGTTCTTCAATCAAGCAATGCAATTCAGTTCAGAGGACACCACATATATGGATCACAGGATTTGTAAACAGATTTATGTTTGGCTGATGTACCTTACTGCTGTGAGAAACATCCTGTAGATCATGAAAAATATCTTCCCCAGGCTCCCATCAATTCAGGAAATCTTTTTTATTCAAGTGAACATCCCTTGCAAGCATTCTACAAGTATCCAAGGAGCTTTTACAAAGTAAAAAGATTGCCTACCGAGGATTATAATTCTTGGTGAAGAGGTGAAATGAGCTATGTGAGATGACCTCACGGGGGAGATAAAGATATGTGCCTCCTTGGGTCCTTTGATATCTACCTTGATTCCACAAATAACAACTCCCAAATGACCAGGTGCCTTGATACTCTAACCAGTGTTACAGAAGACATAGGGAAAAAAAATTGGTTGAAAATTGTGTTATATTATTGCAATGCCTCGGAATATGAAAACTCACACTCTGATATTACCATATGCAATTCTGGGAGCAATCGAAATATGATAGTGTGGTATGAAAACCATGATACAATTTACAGCTTCTTTTGGGAACTAGATTCAGTCTTTGCCAGTAATTCTTTGCTAGTATAATTTTATCAGATGAAAAAAAAAAAGCAGGTTTTCTTTTGTTGTATTATTTTACAAGAAATGCATTGACAAGAAATTGTCTCAAAATTGCTTGTACAGAGGATGGTACAGTGGGTACAGGCCTAAAACTATATGAGGACTATTTAACTCCAGATTTTTAAAAAATCCTGGTTCTTTACACATTTAGTTGATATACTAAGGCCTACTAGATTCCTGTACAGAGATTCCTGCATAAACTGCTGCTTTCAATGCAAGGACAACACCCTTAACTCTGCGCTCCACTTTTTTCTGGGTCCATATCAAAAACACTGTTTTTCAACTTAGGCTGGCAGGAGTGGTGTAGCTTAGACTGTCTGCTATGCAGCATCTCATTAAAGGCAAGGCATTTGCTTCATTGTGCTAACATTTGTCTACTGACCATACAGATCCTTGTTCTCCATGGCCCTTCCTTTGCAATTAGTGCATCATAAGGCACTAATTTGAATCAATGTAGAATAGGGTGATTTATAGAATGATCTTCAAGGGGCTGAAATTCAGGGCAAGCAATTCCCAAACAATTCTTATTGACAATTATAAGAATGATGGGGGGGGGGACCTGTGCTTTCAACCCCCTCCCTCTTTTCCAAAGATGATGCCCTTCCCCATGTTCTTGGACTGGAATCTGTCCAAGATTCTTGAGCTTGTTGAAGCTTTCTTAAAGGAACATACAAATGGGACTGGGAGACTGGGATTACATTCAATCTTTTGGACTGTTTAGGATAAAATTTTCAAGAATTTGCCAGGATTTCTTTTCTAACTTAAGAAAAAAAAACCAGTAAAAACTGGAATTGACTTATGAAAATCTCCTTGTGAATAAGCAACTCTTCCACTGAGCAAGAGGTTGGATTGGATGACCTCCAAGTCACTTTCCAATTGAATACTTCTGTGATTGCTGGCTGCTCTTTGCTCATGAAAAAAGAAGGCAATTGGAACTTGTTTTCCCAAATGGGGGTGGGAAGGATAAAGAAACAGGGAAATCTACTAACTAGAGGTCATGGTAACTTCTATCAAGACAGAGGGCCTGGTCAGCATAATTGTCAAATCTTGAAAACCAGACAGTTATTCCTTAAACTGGCTTCAGTTCAGCTGATATCAGCAGGAAGGCAAGCTGATTAAAGAATACATTTTTAAAAAAAATTGTCATCTTTTTTCTATGGAGGCATTAATGTGGATGGATTGCCAAGAGAATTAGCCTGCAGTAGTTTCAGAGATATGTACGTGTACATGGATGCATATATGAATCTGTAGTATACTATCCACATGTCTGATATGTTGTAATCTTCAGTTGGATGGAATGGTGCATCACAGGGCCATGTACAAACCAATACAATTTTGAATCAACATATAGTAGGCTAATTTATAGAATATGCCCAAAATTCCAGGACCTGTGACTCCTGTGGGACTGAAATTTGGCAAATTTTTGGATGCTTCAGTTCCATCACACCTTCCAACTACATTTCCCAGAAATCCATAAGTTGTATAACTCTATCCTCTTTCTCACCTCCCTCTGACCTCTGTGCCTAACTGGTTGGTAGCAAGGCCTCACAGGTGAACAACCATTGGCTGCTTTGGAATTGAGGCCGAAATTTGAAATCTCTTAATGGTGGTAGCCAGTGAGGGAAGAACAAAGGAGCCACTTGGATGCCTCTGTCAAGGTAGAACTGGCTTGGGGGTGCCAGTGGTTGATGGGTTAGCCCTCTTCTTCCCTGAAGCGAAGGGCCCCTTGGGGACAGGCTAGGATGAGAAGTGGGATGAAGTTTACCCCATCTCTGCTATCTTTGATACATGTTCTCACAACCGAGCATCAGTTCCATGGTCAGCTAAGGAGGGGGCTTCACCAGGATCTCCTGAGGGTCATGAAATGGTGGAAATCTATATTTTATATGGAAAGAGGAAGGAAAAGGGAGAGTTGCTACTGCTGCTAGGGTTGCCAGTGATGGATGAGCCTCCTCCTCCTCCTCCTTGGAAGGAGGAGTCCATTGGAATGGTGAGTAGGGGTGCCCTTTTCCTCACATTCTGCTGCTCCTTTTGTCCCTCCTTCCCCCAGCAAAGTGGCAGGAAGTTCTGCAGGTCAGATGAAATGCTGCAGCAGCAGGAGGAGGCTTCACCAAAGCTCTCCCGAGAGTCATGCGTATAGCATAAGCCTATATTACATTTGGGAAGAATAGGAAGAATTTGCTGAAATAGGTCATGAGTTCACTGGTTTATATATCAAGACTGGAACCCCATCATAGTGCAATCTTATGTTAAATGGGAACAATGGGAGTTAAAACTGCTGAAGGGCATCAAGTTCAGGTAGGTTGCCCTACTTTATGTAAAACCAAACCAGGAAATTTTTTCAAAAGTCAACCTTGTTTCTTTAAATAGGTACAAATAATTAATTTTGATATATAACTAGATTAGAGATGAATCTCTGCCTGTTGAGCTAAATACCTAAAAAGCCAGGATGGTACAATGGGGATATTATTCCTCAATTCAGCTAAGTAGGAGTATTTGATTTGATTTTGAGAGAAACCATTAGTTTTTTTTTTCTTCATTGTGAATGTCTTTTTTATTATACTTATCTTTATGGGAGTTTTGTTTATGTATTATTATTTTCAAACTTATTTAGAAGAAGGGCTGTGAACCATGCAGAGGTATGAAAAATATATCTCTGCTATTCATTTATTATGATAGAATAAAATGTGGGGTTTTTTTTGGTTGGCTTCTTGTGTGAGCCTGAAAAAAGGACATGGCTGCTTTTAAAGCCACATTAGTGATTCAGTTCACAATAGCAGCTTATTTCAACAAATTCCAGAGAATCCAGTTTTGGTCACCACACTATAAGAAAGATGTTGAGATTCTAGAAAGAATGCAGAGAAAAGCAACCAAGATAATTCGGGGACTGGAGAATAATACATACGATGAATAGTTGTAGGTATCTAAAGTCTGTACAATATTTTATAAGGGAAAGTAAACAAATAGCTTTAGTTTTTATTATTTAAATTGATTAAGTGGACAACTCCAGAGTATTTGCTCTACATTCCAAGCTAGGCCCCGCCTCACCCCCCCACTCTGCTTCTCTCTTACACACATACACAAAACCACCTCCTTCCTCTTGATAATTGGAAAGAAGTTACACAGGGAGATCTCTCAAAACTAACTGAATGAAGGGGACTTCCGGTTTGAGTTCCTTCGCCAACAGACCAAAATCGCGATCATGCACGGTTTTGATCCGTGCTCGCTGCTGGAGCGACCCGAGCTGGCTGGTTTCGGGGCTAAGCCACCCCATAGAGATAGTGAAGAGAGGGGAGACTGCCAGCAGGGTTGAGGAGAGCCGCATCTCTCCTCCTCAGCTGACCATTACTCCCTTTCCCGAAGGCGGTTGCAGCGGTGGTCAGAAATGGCCACCTCAAAGAAGAACTCAACTGGAAAAGAATGTGCAGGAGAAAGATAAGAAGAGAAAGTTTTGGTTTACCAGGTTAAACTGCAAAAGCAACAATGTAAGGTACCCTGGAATTTAAACTATATAAAAAAATAACATTGTTCCCAAATAAGATTTTGAAGCAGCAAAGGAAAGAGGGAAGGGAAAGGATTTGGTTTTTTTTTCTTCCCTTCCCTATACTGACAGCTAAGAGACTTAAGCAAGAAATTGAAAAAAAAAACCACTTTGACATCAATAGGCATTTAAGCTGAAAATAAAATGTCAAAGGGATAATAAAGATTTCTGGATACTTAAAAGCTTTTAAAAGCAAGAAAGGAAGGCAGGATCTGGAAAAATGGAGGAGACTGCCTGGAACTAAAAGGAATTTACAGTGAAACCTCAACAAGATTTCTAAAAGATACATCATAACTGAAACTTGGCAACAAAATAATAGAACCCCAGGAAGAGAAAGTGGAAAAAAGAAGCAAGAAGAAACAGCTTTGGAATATTTGGATTACTTGGTGATCTTTGGATTTTTGGTTATTGCATTTAAATGACTACAATCAATCGGGTGGTTGTTTAAAAGTGTTTAAAATGGCACCACTTTTAGAAGAACTGAAAATGGATCTTAAAAAGTACAAAGAAGATGCACAAGAAGGGAGAGGTTTTT